TAAATAAAAATAAAACTAACTTTATTTTTTTAAAGTTTGGTCATCCTTCACGGTATGACAAATTATATATATTTACTTAAAAATATGCAGCGGCTCATAGCTCAGTGGTATGGGCTACCTCGTTAAAGGCGTCGAAGACCTCGTTCAAATCCCGATTCGCCCAGGTTTTTTTCCTTTTATGCAGTGAAATTTCATGTACATAGGTTACTTTGGTGTTAGACCCTAGTGAAGAAAATAGAACGATATAAGTTTACATTTGTAAAGTTGGACGATAAAAATCTCTGCTCCTAGCAGTACTGGCTACTGTCAGTAAATACTGCTACTGTCAGTAAAAGTACTGCTACTGTCAGAAAAAGTACTGCTACTGTCAGTAAAAAGTACTGCTACTGTCAGTAAAAGTACTGCTAATGTCAGTAAAAAGGAAAATTTGAGAGGGTTTTCGACGATAAAGTACTGCTACTGTCAGTAAAAGTACTGCTACTGTCAGTAAAAGTACTGTACTGTCAGTAAAAGTACTGCTACTGTCAGAAAAAGTACTGCTACTGTCAGAAAAAGTACTGCTACTGTCAGTAAAAGTACTGCTACTGTCAGTAGCATACTGCTAGGAGCAGAGATTTTTATCGTTGTGGTCCGACGGTTAAGCCACAGACGAATGTCCGACGTCCCCACCAACCGAGTCCAATCTCAAACCAGAGGAACTAAAGCACCAGCCCCTGCACCTCAGTTCCAGCAATTCCAATCTCAATCCAAATTACTACCAATTTCCACCTCAAGGTTACTACCAATTTCCACTACAAGGCTTCCCGAACTACCCTTCCTCAGCCTATGCCTTACTTCCCCAACCCTTGATGTTCCAGCAAGCTCCACCCCCAGCAATTCCAATCTCAATCTCAATCGAAGAGAGACCAAGACTTCGAAGAAGGTCTGAACCGTTTACGCAAAGATTATGCCACAGCTCCAATTGAGAGAAAGTTGTTCCCGGACCAAAAATATAATTTAGGTGAAGAGGTGACATCTCACCCGTTTTCTCACCTGTTTTCTCACCTCTTGAATTTGTCAAGACTTCTTCGTAAACGTTATTTTTTAAATTTTGTGAAAACTCAACGGTTTGACACAAGCCCTAAAAATTATTTTACTCAGAATTTTGTTGCTGAATTCAGCAAAAATAATGTTTAGGTGAAGAGGTGACATCTCACCCGTTTTCTCACCTCTTTTCTCACCCTAGTTATTTTATAACCGTTTTACATGAATTGTACGATGTATATTTGAAATCCTAAACAATTTCGTAGCTTCTATTTCTTCTGTCAGTACATCGAATGTTTTAACAATGCCGAAAGTTTCTTTATATTTCTTCTTGACGTCAGATAGAAGGAAATCTTCTGCTGTTGGATAGTTTTTGTTCAGAAATTCTAACATGTCCATTTTATCTTCTGCTGGCTTTTCTGCTTCTTTCTTTAAGTCTGCATAGTCGTTTCTCATTCTTTCTATCTCTTTGACGGAGTAGTTATATTTCCTAATTGCCGCTTTACATTTAGAACATTGCGGGTTCATTTTTGCGTTATATTCTGAAACCTTACCTGCTAAAACAACTAAGGCGTCAATGGTTTTCTTTAAATCTGAAGCAGTTGGTTTTATTTGTTCATTCCATATTTTACATCTTCTATCTTTATCTCTTATCTGCCATACACATTCAGCAACTAACGAAACAAAGTTGTCGTATGTCTTAAACTCCCGGGTTTTGTAAAGGTCAGAGATGTTCTTATATACCATGTCGCAATCTTTGTCCATAACTTTATGGTTGCAATGAAATCCTAGAAACTCATAGTTTACCTTTCGTATGAACTTCTTTATTTCTACTGAGTCAGTTGCTTTGACTTCAATTTCATCGAATTCAGGAATAGTTAGTTTTTGCTGCTGAATTTCAGGCAATTTGGGTAAATGGTCAATAATGTCCTGCATTTCATAAAGATACTGTTCATTTTCTTCATCTTTCGCACAACAGTCTAAATTACATGTTAAAAGTTCTTGCTTTATCTTCTGGATTTCTGTTTCGAAAGTATATGAAGAAGGAATGAAGCTTTTCATTTCTACTAACATTGACGTTGGGTTCATGACTAACGAGTTTGGTGAAGTTGTTGCTAACATGTTCTTACAATAAAAATAAAAAAAAATATTTTATAAAAAACTAAAATATATTTTTTATCTTAAGGAAATTCATGAAAATCCAACGGGTGAGAAAACAGGTGAGAGAAAACGGTGACATCTCACTCTTCACCTAAAATATATTTTTGTCGAAAAAAATGGTTCATTTACTCACAATATTTTGTACAAAACAACCCCAAGCTTTTAACCTCTCTTCTGCAGCTTCTAATGCTATCTTAGCGAGTTCATATTCTCTAAATTCTCTCTTTAAATCTTCTTGTTCCCATTGTCTAGTTCGTATGGCGAGTCTCTATAACCAGAACATATCTCACGTTCATGTTCTATTTGTTTTTCATGCATTTTTCTAACTTCTTCTTCGAACAAAGTTTTGCATTCTCTACTGTATCTTCAAGTTCTTCTTCATCTAATTTCTCATGAACTTTCTTGTCTATGGAGTCCATAATTTTTCCAACTGCTATGCAATATTTTGGAGAAGCCCACATTGCTATATAGTTTTACAAGTCTTGGGTCTACATACATTCCTCTAACCTGTTTGATTTCATCAGGAATTCCTGCATGAATTTTGTATAAAAAGCAACCCGCTGTTTTCCGCGGGTTGGTATATTCTTCACAAAATGCCTCAAAATACTCTTCCCAGGACTTATTTTCCAACAACCTTCTAAAGTCCTTCCTAAACTGCTGACACATATTTTGTTGCATTTATATAACCATCCTTGTCTCTACGTAAGACTTCAATACCGTTGTAAGTGCCTTTTGTGAATGTTTTCGCCATTAGATTTGTTCGTGAACGTTTTTGCTTCGACTGACATTTCTGTTCTTACAATAAAAATAAAAAATATTTTTTGGTGGACGTCGGACATTCGTTTGTGGCTTAACCGTCGGACCACAACGATAAAAATCTCGACAAAAACATATACGATGAAGTTCAACAAAACATAAACGAAGAAGTCTTGACAAAACATTTACGATGAAATCTATTTCCTGTGTTGTTGTCAAAATGTCATGTTGTCACACTTTTTCAAAAAGATGTTAGTTGAGACCGAGTGACCGAGTGACCGAGTGACCTGTCGCCTAAAATATATTTTTTTCTATCTTAAGGAAATTCATGAAAATTCACCTGTTGAATTTTGTATAAAAAGCAACCCGCTGTTTTCGCGGGGGTATATTCTTCACAAAATGCTTGTTTTGAGGTCGAGCCACTTTTGGCTCCACCTCTTTTTTCAACAAAAACTCATTTTTGTCGAATTCAGCACAAAATTCATGAAAATTCAACGGGTGAGAAAACAGGTGAGAAAAAGGTGACATCTCACCTCTTCACCTAAAAGTATTTTTCAATACTTTTTCAGCACTTTTCGTAGTATATGAAAGACAATTCGAGATAAAAGTCATAGTACAATGGAATAATATGTTTGCACACCATTTGTTGTGAACCAAACTTGAAAGTCAGAGAAACTGTTACTAGGTGGTTCGTAGAATTTAGAAGCAAAGTCATAAAAGTCCTTACCGATACAAAGAAAACTGTTGTTGCTTGAACTGAAACTTGCATGACACATAACATTTTGAGGGTCAAACACGTTTCTATAAACTGTCAAATCTGCTGGTGGACGTATAAATTTAACGGACCGTCAGGTGGCAATGGTTCGTTCTGTTTAGTAACGAAGAAATTGTGCCAAGAACGTTGTCTACTTTCCAAAATAAAAACTCTGTATCTCTTGGAGGGTTAATTTCAATCTTTTGAAATGAAACGGTGGAGTTCATCTTGTCATATTCTAGTTTCAGATAGTATGTTCCATTTAGTAAAGAGTCGTATTTTTCTTGAAATTCCCAATAATATTTGTTCATTTGAGTTTGAAAGTCATTTAGAGTTTTCTCAAGACTTTCGTCTGAACGAACTGTAAAGATTCTCATTTCATCAAATTTGTCTATTAGACCATCAGAACCTCTATATACTGCCCATGAAAATATACTGCGAACATAAAAGCGTTCGTTCTTTTTGAAAACAAACTCTTCTAATCCTATTGCCTTTGCATCTGAAGGACTTTGAAGCCAACGAATTGGATAGTCAACCTGTAAGTACGGGATGAAATTTCTTCATCTGAAATATTTCTACCGGCATTTGTAAAGATATAGTCTAACGGTTTTGTATCTGCTACTTTTGTTCTTTGTTTTTCAACCTGAAACATTTAATATATGTAAAAATATACTGTTTTAAAATAGTATGCCATATAGCTTCTTGAATTTGTTAAGAAATATTTTAACGTTTTTTCCATCTGTATCTCTAGTGTTTACATAAGCATAGCCTTCCTTAGTAAAACATACTTGTAATTTCCTATAGCTTACGCCGGTATAAAAGTAGAAAGAGTCTTGTTCTTCGCTATAGTAGTAAAACTCAAACGTATGCTTACCATAGTCTGTAATTTCAATTGTTTCATCTTCTAGTTCGTCGACAAATTCGAATACAATATCTCCAAATTTGCCTATGTTCTTACTGTTTTCAGAACAAGTGACCAGCGTAAGTTTTCAAGTCTATTGTCGTTTCTTATACGGTTTATGTGGTCTACAAGAGGTAAATTGTTAGGGTTCGGTAAAAATGAGTTGCAATGACAATATGTTTAAAATATTTTTTTCCACTCATACTCATCATAGCATATCCGTTATTTCGCTCACATTCGCTTAAAACTCTTTTTGTCTTTTTGTTTCTGACTTCAAATGACTCACAACAGTGAATTTCATATTTCTCATCTAACAAACAAGTTTCCCAACGGTCTTCTCCAACAAACTCAGCGTACATTTCTATAAAAATAAAAAAATATTTTTTTTAAAATATGTTTTTTCCTTTACTTAACATAACCACCAGCTACCATAAGCCTTTGACGCCAACCCATACCAGCTAATGAAGGTTGACTTGGTTTAGTTTGGAAACTAAACTTTGGTTTTGGTTTATCTTCAGTTTTTGGCTCCCCTTCTTCTATCGGTCTTTCGTCACTTTTCGGTTCACCTGACTTTACTTCACTTGCAGGTATGGTTGTGTCGTCAACATCTTCGTAAATATCATATGCCATTTGTTTTTGTTTTCCTTTCAACTTTTTGTGTTTGTTGTAAAGTTTAGAATATTTCGACTCTAAGTCAATGAGATGTTCTATAATTAACTGTTGGTCGGTGAAGTAAACTTTTCCATCTGTTGTCTCGAAAGCTCCTTCAGACTTCAATATATTTTATTTGTGAGAGTCTGTTTCTTTTTGAGTACTAGCCGTTCCATTTCTATGAAAAGTGACTTTATAGTTAGGTTTGTATTTCCAGACCTGGCACTTTCTATATTGAATTTTCTCTTCATCTGTAAGTTCTTTGACAGGTTTGACAATGGTTCTGAACTTTTTGTTTTGTGGTGTCAAATCTACCGTTTCAACTTCTTCGGTCATTTCATCTCAGTAAAAAATTTTAGTTTGTTTGTTTTCAACTGGTTAGTTGTTGTTTTTTAAGTCGGTCTAAAAACTTCCTGAGGTATAGGAAGAACTTGACAAACACGTTGTGTAACTGCTGGAAGTCGACAAATCCATCTTGAACCCATTTGTCTCAATGCTGGTATTGTTCATTTCATCTCAGTAAAAACTTTACAATCCCCACGTTTGAGGCGGTTGAGGTTGGTTATTGTTTACCCATTGTGTGCATGGTTATATCCTCTGTTAAAGAATCTTTCACCTTGGTCCATATAGTGCCCTGCTTGGTTATAGTAGTCATTTGCTTTGTTATAGTAGTTTCCTGCTTGTCTTCCTACATTGTCCATCATCCTTGAACTTTTCCTCTTGTTTCAGGATTTGGAATAAGATTTGTTGCATCTCGTGCTACCTCCCACCTTTCTGTACAGTTTGTATAATAGGTTGTGCTTTCTCTTTAAGTATACCTAATGTACTCAAAATCTTCCTTCCAATTCCAAATGCACCTCTGGCTATTGTTCCAACTGCGGTAAAAATCTGGATGCAACTCCTGCTAATGCGCCAAATAAACCCATTTCTTATGGTTAAAAAATGACGAATCCAAACAAGGACCCGTATGTTTCTAAAGCAACAAAGAAAGCACTCATGGTAAAATCTTTAGTTCAACACCAAATGCTTGGTTTATGGATATCTTGGAAAATTCCGAGAGTTAGAACAGATGGACCACCATACTGGTAATATTTGTTGGTAAAACACAGATACTGTGAAGCCATACCATTACAGTCCAAAAAATTTTAGATGTGAAAACTGCTTTGACAATATTCGTTGACAAATACCATCCAACAAAACTGACATCTGACTGTGAAAGTTCTTTCAAATCAGACGATATTAAAAATATCTGCGTTCAAAAAATGTAAACCAATATTTCATTGTCGACCAAAACCATTCTGCTCTTGGTGTCATTGACAGTTGTATAAAAATCTTAAGAGACTTAAACCAACCACAAGGTGGTGAGGTAGATGAAATGTCATATGACGACAAGTACAGACACTTCTCCATGGCAAAGATGAGACAAGTTTTAAATATTTACAATAGCCGTAAACAAAAAGGTTTGGGAAACCACTCCCCCGAAGAAATGAAAAACAACCCCGACTTAGAGAAAGACTATATATTTAATAATTTAGTCAAAAGAGACAAACAAGAAAGAATGCCGGGCTTCAAACTTCAGAAAGGTGACAAAGTAAAAATAGAAATACCCAAACGCGACCCATATGAAAATACTATTGACTATGACAACAATGGGAACTCGACAGGTACTCACATTCGTGTTCGTAAAAATAGAAGAAAGTATACAAGAGAATATTATGAAGTTTTAGGCAAACATGGCAAAATGTACACACTGCAAGCAGAAGATAAAACTACTATTGTCAGACCTCGTTTCAAACTTGTCAAAGTTCAAGGTGGTATACTTTCAAAGACAGTTCCTAACAAATATAAGACAACTGCTGACGAATATGCTAAAGAAGTTGAAAATGACGACTAAGCAATTCTATACCATGCGTAAACTGTCATGTAAGGTGGCATGTATTCTTTACTTTGTCCCGTTGTTTGCGTATATCCTGTAACGCGATGTGTATGGTTTCCATCTCCCTGAGTGTTACCCCAGAAACAATTTATAGCAAACTGAACGTCGTCTTTAACATCATATCCTTTACCTTTTTTCATTGCTGACCAATCCCAAAATCTATGCTTATGCCAACCTGCTTGAGATGTACTTAAATCTACGTAGTGACTGTGTGCAGGTAGGTTTTCACCTGAAATCGTTTTACTTCCACCTGTTTCCTTTGAAGAGTTTGCACAATACAAAAACCTGTCGACTATTTGAGTCCAAGTTCCGAGACCAAGTACTACTTCTGGTCTGGTAGAGTTCATTGACGTGTAAATAGAACCTATAGGATATACTGTTTGAAGTATTTCTGTCTTTAACGTTTGAAGCTCTGTTTTGTCAGCTTTTTTATCATATAAATCTTGAGCAGTGAATTTAACTTTGTTTTCATCCTCCATGACATAGACATTTCTACATCTAATGTCTTCATCCGATGTTAAACCTTGTGGAAAGTTAGGAGGTTTCCAATTTAATACATCCCCACCAGTTTCTTCAACCGTTCCTGCAATATTTTCTATACCAACAGTTGCGAAGAAATCGTGTGTATGTCCAACGTCACTTTTCCTGTTTAAGGTTTCTTGTAAGTTTGTAATATTTGCAATGGTATGTGTATGAGTCTTTTTAGAATATTCTTTGTCAGCTCTTTCACTTCACTTGACATTTTATTGTCAACATATGTTTTATCTGCTTTGTCATCTAACATTGCTGGTAGTTCATCTACGTCATAGATGTTATGTGTATGATGTTTTTGTGGGTATGTTCTATCTGTCCATGCGAGAATATAGTCTCTTGTTGCATCTACATACTCTTTGTCAGCTTTGTTGTCAATATCTGCTTTCAAAAGAAGTTCATCTATAGGTTTCTCGTTTAAAGTTCTTTTTGTTGGATTTATACAAACAGTATGGTTCTTACTGTCTTGAAACAGAAACTCGTCTGTCATTGGGTTTATCGTCAGTTTTAAGTTTCCTTCTTTCAATGACTCAGATATCTTAGAATAGTTTGAAAAGTTTGTTGTGTTCTTATTTAGAGCTTGCAAAATGAGTTGTCGGTTGTGTTGTATTTCTCTCATAGACGCTGTTTCTTTCGACATTTTTATTCTAGATAAAATATGCTTTCAATAGAAAAAGAAAATTCAAGAGTTGCTACAACTAAACCATTAGATGAACTTTTTACGAATGTCGGTCAAAAGTTTGAGACAGAGACCGTAAAGCATGAAGGCTATCGTTTTGACTACCCATTGAGATGGTTAAGAGACCCATCCGTCACAAAAGCTATTGGCTTTCGTAGAATGAAGTTCATTTCAGAAGCCATACATGGTTTCCCATTTACGGTCGCTTTTGAAATTCGATACTATAACAAAGAAAAACGTACGTATGAGAAATTTGAACAGGGAAAACTTTTACAAGTGAATTTGCTTGTAAACTTAGAAACAACTCTTCAAGCTTTTCAAGAAAAAATAAACGATATCTATCTCGAATATGCAAAACAGTACAACATTGACGAGGGAGAATACCATCTAGATATTTTATATGACAGGAAAAATGCAACTGTTAAATTCAATAGAATAGAAGACCTTGGAGAAGACGTTTATATTTCTACAAAATATAACAACTTGGCATGGTATAGGTTTCTGAGGATGTTAAATCAGCCTGCAGAATATCCAGTACACCCGAACTTTTATGAAGTCGAAAACCCTAATGGAACATATGAAAATGTTTTCGACTCAGATGCTATTATCGTTCATGCTTCATTTTCTGGTGCACAAAACTCTTTTTTATGCTTGGCAAATGACTTTTACGAAAAACCTACAAAGCTATATGAACCACCAAGTGGAAGTATTTCAGACTTTCAAGTATGGTTTACAACAGATGGAAGAAAGAGAATAGTTCCATTATACCATGCGTTTTACTTAGAACTTAGTCTCATATACAACTACTATCGAACGGTAAAAAATAATTTTAATACGGTTGAGGTGTTGGATTTGGTTGCCAACTTGACTGTGGTGCAGGTTCAGGCTGTTGTATAACAGGAGCTTGTTCTTCTGGTTCAGGTCTTTAGGTATAATACCAACAAACTGACCTACTCTTTTACCAATATTTTTGACTCCGTTCCAAATTCCTCTTCCTACGGTTTTTATTCCATTCCATATACCTCTTCCAACATTTCGAAAGAAGTTTCCTATTCTTCCAAAGAAACCCATTTTACTATATGTAAAAATCTAATGTCCACCTAGTCTCTTACGTTTCCTTCTGAGTTCCATTGCATTCTTTAACTGGAGCTCATACATTCTATTTCTCCTCTGGTAGAAAACATACTCTGGGTCAACTCCTGTGTTCGCGTCATCTGCATAGAGTTGTTTATATCCCACTTCAGGGTTTGTATAAAACTCTTTCCATCTCATATTTGCATACCATGGTGGCAAACCTAACGCAGCGTCATTTGACATGGCAGTTTGCATTTGTACATCTGTTGGCACTTGACCATAGTTTGCCATTGCAGTTTGTATTCTAACTTCATTTGGAATATTCTCTGGGTTTGGTTGTCCAGGTTGCTGTGCATTCGCTAAGTTCTGTGCGTCCATTTAATATTAGATAAAAATATCTCTTACGAGTACATATACTGGACATTTGCAGGCATTGGTTCATCTTCATATTCTCTATATCTTTCTGCCACGTCAAATAAGTAAATGACACAATGGAAAAAACCTAAAACAAGTAGTCCTATTTCAAACCACATTTACTTACTAATAAAATTTCTTTGTTATGACACTTTCTCCAGTTTATAGGACCTCTCTCATATTCTATCTTGTCATATATAAACTCATAGTCATGTATGTCCTCTAACCATCTCATAACGGTTTCCAAACCACTTTTTATCGGATGTAAAGTAAAAGCATGGATGGTTATGTAACGTCTAAAGTTTCTAAAGAGTCTCTCAAAGTCCAGTCTACTTGGTATTGAAA